ACATTTTAAAACTGCACAAACCCCACAAAACTATTCATTTTGAAGGGTGACTTTTACAGCATACACATTTTTTAAGAATTATTTTATTAAATTTTATTGATTGTGATTACTTAATTTGACCAGAGAGACAGAATGAGAGAGAGAGAGGAAAAGTAGCTGCCAGGACCTGGATTCGAACTGTGGTATGCTAAATGGGAGTCCAGTCAGTACCTTAACCACCATGCCACCTGCCAGCCCCCAGTATGCACATCGTAAGAAAACTAGTCAGGATATCGAGAGATCCCAGGATGACGCCCAGACTGATAGAACTGAGTCTCTATATTACCAACGCATGCTACCACCTCAGTGAAGGCGGCGAAGGAAAAGGTGCTGACCTGAGGCGCTCCGCGGTCCTGGCTACGGCGTTTCAATATACACCACAAGATTACAGAACAAGGAACGGTGCTTAAACACTGCGTTCTGTCTGCTACCTTCATTCCTCACAGGGACACTGGCTGTAAAGCTACATCACATGTCTGCTACGTGAAATGTCACCTGTACACTAGTGTGAGCAAACGTGGGTAACGACAGTAACAGGAGCCAGGGTTCTCGCAGTCAGAGAAGTAAGTTACAATCCATCAAAGGAGAAAGGCTAGAATGAAACGCTTGGTGCTGAATTGGAGCCAGAGACGTCAGTATGAACTCATGCTTATTTTTAGCAAATTGATGGATAATTACAGATCTGTATGAAGACATGAGTTAGAAGACATGCGTGTACTTTTTTTTTGAGAAGAGAGAGATTTTTTTGCTATAGGGTGTGTGTGCTTGGCACAGAGAGAGAGAAAGTGAAAAATCACCTCCCAGAGGGATGTTCACACACAATCCCCTCTCCATTCTCCTCTTGGGACTTCAGGTGCATGCGCACACACTTGGCATGAGTTTCAAGCCACCAGATCTGAGACTCTAACTGTGGTTGGCCACACAGAAGTCTGGCACCTTAACCACTACACCACTTGCTGGCCCTGACATGCATTTGTGTATTTCTAACTCTACCACTGAGAGGGTCTAGAAATAATGACTCCCCCCAACAGGAACAAACACCCACAATGTCCCCAGAGCAAGTTTTTTTAGAGAGAGATTTTTGCTATAGGCCGCATGTGCTCGCCAGAGAGATGGGGAGAGACAGAAAGTGAGAAATCACCCCCCAGAGGGGATGGCCACTCTGAAATCCCTTCTCTATCCTCCTTTGGGGATTTTGGGCATGTGCTTGGCATGAGTGTAAGCCGCCAGGTCCAGGACTCGAACTGCAGTCAACTATGTGGGAGTCCAGCAACATAACCATTGCGCCATCTGCTGGTCCCCACAGGACCTACTTCCTCATTTCTAAATATCATTCTCCAGTAAAGGAACCAGAGGTCCTTGGAGAAACAGCTGATTCTAAGGACTTGCTTGAGGCAAGCCTGGAGCATATTGTGGTGCCAGAAAGTAAGAAGTACTGGAAAAGCAAAACACGGAAAAGGATAAGAGCGTGTCAGAGGACACAGAGGCCAACTGAAAAAGCGCCTATGGCCAAAACGAGAACAGTTTGAGCAACAAATAAATCACAACAGTACTGTACTGTAACCCAAGGTTAAAAAAAAAAAAAAAAAAATGAGTCCACACTGACACAAATGACTGAATAAATGAGGGAGAAGAGGCAAACGCTGCATACAGAAAAATTCCAAATCATGCGTGTAGACACTACCCTTCCAGGAGGCAAAGATGAACTCCCCTCCCTTTGAGTCTGCACTGTGCTTCATTCCTCACTTCCAAAGAACAGAGTATGGAAAGGGGAAAGGGGTGACTTCTAAGAAGGCTGGCAGACACCACCAGATCAAGGTTAACATCACCAGTGACAATGTAATGCCATAAGGCACTTCAGCTCTGTAGTGTTCATCCCCAAGCACATCACCCAATCTAACCCTGTAAAAACACCAGACAGATCCAAATCCACGTTCACGAAGACTAAATGCCATGCGGTATTCTTGACTGGATCCTGGAATAGAAAGGAGTACAGAAAAACTGGGAAATCCAAATGTCTGTGGTTTGGTTAATACTGTTTTATACCAGTCTGTTCTTTTTGACAAATGTACAGGGTTAAGAAGCAGCTATTAGGGGAAGCCTGAAGAGCACACAAGAACCTTACACTGCCTTTGCCAAGTATTCTGTAAATGTGAAATTATTCCAATATGAAATGTGTATTTAAAAAAAAAATACATGAGGTAGTTTTGAGATTAAGGACACACCTTTTGGGCCAGCCAGTAGCATGGTAATTAAGGCAGCTGGATCCCACACAGCTAACTAACTATACAGTTCAAGTCTCAGACCTGGAGACTTGAAAAATACGCTAGACACATGTGCCTAAAATCCTGAAAGGAGGGAGAAATGGAGGAGAAAGGACTGTGGCATGACCATCCCCCGTGGGGGATGCTTTCTTACTTTCTCACTTGCATTTCTGTCAAAAAGAAAGAAAAGAGAAACCTTTTACATATACTTACATGATTTCTTGTTTCAATTTTAAAGCTAAGATTGAACTGTAAATATTACAAAACCCACCTTAGCTGCAGTAACTGTTGGAAAGGACACTTAGAAACTACCAAACTGGGAACCAGCAATTAGCGTAATGGCTATGTCGCTGGACTCCCACGTAGTCGACCGCAGTTCGCGTCCCGGACCCGGTGGCTTAAAACTCACGCCAGGCGCGTGTGCGTGCGTGCCCAAGATCCCGAGAGGAGAATGGAGGAGAATGGATTGCGGCGTGACCATTCCCCCTGGGGGGTGATTTCTCGCTTTCTGTCTCTATGTCTCTCTCTGTCTGTCTGGCAAGCGCACGCACCCTATAGCGAAAATCTCTCTAAAAAAAAAAAAAAAAAGAAAGAAACACCAAACTACTGAGACAATTCCTATGAATTTTTAAGAAAGGCTGGAAAGAGTTCTCAAATAAGCACTATCTTGTGGAGGAGGAGCAGCGTTTGGAGGCTGAAGAGCCCTGTCACAGGAAGACCAGCATCTCACATGAAACGGCTCTCAGAGACACTCATCCCTAAGGCCTGAGATCGACAACACCGGGCTAGAGGAGCATGGAATACAACAAAGTGGGAGAAACGGGGAGGAACGATGAGACCCTGGGATGCTCAGCAGGGAGATAAGAGATAAATGAGGAAGCATAAAAAAAAAGACCGCGAGGTGGTTAAGGTGCTGGACTCCTACAAAGTCCCAGACCTGGCAGCCTGCTTTCTCACTCTCTTTCTCTTGTAAAATTAAAAATTAAAAAAGAATAATAAATAAACTTAAATAAAAATAATTATTTAAAATAAAATAGATAAATAAAGACCTCAGATCATCTCTGGGTCAATGAAAGGAGGGGGAAAGAAAGCTTCCTCTTATTTTTCATTATGTTGTCCTTGCTGCCAAAAATAAGGCTTCGGTGGATATCATTTGCTAATTACACAGATTTACGTAAGTTCGATTTCATGCCCTGAGACTCTCATTCACAATGCTGCCTGTATAGAAAAGTATTTTCAAGATCCCAAACAACTATCTTAAAAGTGAACTTTGGAAACTAATCCATCCATTAATCTAAGACAACTTAAGTAATTAGGAATATGCTCTGAGGAAATCAATGAACAGAAACTCAGGCTTTCTAAATTTATAAGTATAAACAAATCATTAAAGCTATTTATGATATCCATATTATTAAAACAAATCACAAATAGGCATTTTTGGAGTTTTTTTAGTATCACTAGTTGCAATTTTTTAAATTTAAAGATTGTGAGATATAAAATGTCTTAAAGGAAAACTGTTTTGTTAAAGCATGCTTATAAGAAAAGGGAGTTATACGTGAGACTGTATGCTATCAGAAAACACCTCTGTTACAAGTAATTTAATCCTAAGGAATAAAAATATAAAAACAGACAAGAAAAATTAAAAATCAAAACTATATTTCTTTTTTTCTACAAAATATTCCCACTACATTCACTACTATTATCATAGAACCGTAAAAATAGTGCAAGATATAAGATATGTGTTAAGTACAATCCATAGAAATGGTCAGTTCTGGTGTTTGTTACAATTAAGAATAAAGCAAAATAGTCCTCAAACCTAAAAAGTTAACTTCCCTAAAACGGATGCCTTTAAAACATACATTTGGCAGCAATTAAAAGGTAAAATACAGTTTTAAAAATTAAATAGTCTAACTCATACTGACTTACAGTTAGTTTCAAATGAGGAAAAAAAAGGTAACAAAATTTCTAAAACTAAAATAATTTATATTTGCCTTTTATAGCATTTCCCCATTAATACAAATCTGTTAAAGCCTCACAACAACCCTGTGAGGTAGGTGGGAAGGTATTATCACACTCATTTCACACATAGGACTCAGAATCAGAAAGATTAAGTCATTTACACAGTTATGTGGCAAGAAAGAGACACAGCAAGAAACAGAACCCTGTCACTGGAAAGAGACACAGCAAGAAACAGAACCCTGTCACTGGACTTCAAAACTGGTTCTTTCCCCAAATACCTAGTAAAAATCACTAAAACTAAATGAGAACAGAAGTGTGACTGCTTTTTCCTATTTTCCAAAATCCTTTCCAGAGGGCCTGAAGGAAGTCACGCCCAGAAACATTAACAGACAGTTCTGACCCATTGATAAACGGGATCTTTCCTACACCTTGTTCCTGACATCCTTGGCATGGTATCTTTCTGAAGTATTGTAAGCATCCTCATCTCTGTTAAAGTACATTCTTTTCTGATCTCAGCAATCTTCCTTTTCCAGTCACCAATCTAAACACTATAAAACCCACCTTTAGGGGCCGGCACATGGCGTAGTGGCTAAGGGTGCTGGACTCCCACATGGCCAACCACGGTTCAAATCCTGGATCTGGTGGCTTGCTATCTCACTTTCCATCTCTCATTCTCTCTCATTCTGTACCTCTCTGGTCAAATTAAAATAAAAAAATAAAACTAAATTAATTCATTTAAAAAATGTTTTTAAAAGAACCTTTAGTCTGCAAGCCCCACCCCTGCTCCCTATGCATTTCCACATGTCCTTTTTGGGTCAGACCAATGGAAAAACTCTTTGCTAAATTCCAAACTTTGCCTCTTCTCCTCAAAATCAAATAAAAGGAACCCCTGTACCTAATCACTCCGAAAAGGGCAAGTTTTGCCTCTTTCCCAGGCCTAGGACACTCATGTTCTACTTCAAAATTGTTAGGTCAGAGGCCTGGGCAGCTCAGATGTGGGGGTTGGACGCCATGACACAGTCGGCTGACGCAACCCAGATCTAGTCTGTCGTTAGACCTCCACTGCACCCGAATCTAAGTCAGATGTAGCACACGGGGCTCTACTCTGCACACAGCACCAGGCCTTACATGGCACAGTAGCCTGCTCTCCCCCTAAACCTTTACCATACATGGACTGTTTCTACCTCTAAGACACTCCCCCTTCCCAATACTCACAGAAATCACTAAACCCTGTCCTAGGGCGCGACTTCTCTGGCCCACTTTCTCTTTCTCTTTCTCTGCCAGAGCAGTGAACCTTGCCTGGGAGTGCTCCCAATAAAGGCTCTACGTTCTATTTTCTCCCGTGATCGGCCCATTCCTTACATTTGGCACTGAAACCCAGAAGGAGTTTTGAGTACCGCAGTCCCCGCGAGGGCCTCTCCTCCCCTGAACCAGGAACCAACCCACCTGTTGCCGACTAACCACTTGCCCTGACCTTCTAAGGGTAAGTCCACCTGCCCATGGTTTCCAGGACTCAAACCTCCAGGTTCCCTGTCCAAAAACACGGCTGCGTCAGGGTCTGCTCTGACTCCTGGAGCTCAGGTGACTGTGAAGACGTCTCAATCCCCTGCTGCCCACCCCCCACTCGGCTCCATGAGCACTAAGATTTGGGATGCCTCTCCCTTTTCCGCTCACTTGAGTCCTGGACCCAATGGGTAATACCAAGTCCGTCACTGAGTCAACAACACCCCTGGGTGTCTGCTCTGTGCTCCGTAACTTCACCAAGTAAGAACTTGTTCAGGATCTGGCCACAATACGCTTTAGACAACAGATCTAAATGGCCTCCTGAGGCCATTTGATTACAATACCCTCACTGATTTGGATAGTTACTGCCGAAGGGTAGTCAAATGGTCAGAGGTTCCTTATGTCCAAGCCTTTGGGGACCTGTGTTCCCGCCCCTCCCTCTGCACCTCCTGCACTACCACCCAAGTCCTTCTCACAACCAGAACCCCACAATCTAAAACCAAACCTGTCCTAGAGGCCAATCTCTCTTCTATAGATGAACCACCCAAAACTCTTACCTCCCCTCCTTCCCAGTGCCCCCCGCAATAATCCCCAACCAGACCCTGGTCCCATTTTGGAGCTGCCAATCCAGGCCCCCCTTCACCGCTGCCTTCTCCTCACCCGTCTCCAGTTAGTTCACATACTCACTCACACTCTCACCCTTCTCTCGCCCCTTCCCCCAGTTCTAACTTTCTCTGTCCTCTCTGAGAAGTGGAGGGAATGGAGGGTATTGTCAGAGTCCATGTTCCCTTCTCTCTCTAAGATCTACCTCAAATAGAAAAAAGAATTGGGTCTTTCTCTGCTAACCCTCTGGCTTTTATCTAAGAGTTCCGCCATCTCAGGCTTATGATCTTACTTGGCATGACCTCTATGTAATCCTGTCCTCTGCTTTTACTGCAGATGACAGAGAATGAGTCCAGGCTGCAGCCTGAGAACATGCCGACCAAGCCCACCTGCTCAACGCGACTTTACCAGTCAGACAAGTGGCTGTTCCTATTACCAAACCTCCATGGGACTATCAGGTAAGAAACTCTGGCCCCCAAAAAAAACAAGACTACATGATCCAATGCCTCCTGGCTGGAATGCACAGCATCCCTAAAAAAAGATCTATTTTGACAAACTCCAAGAGACTACCCAGGGGGCAGACGAAAACCCAGCTGTGTTCCTCAGTCACCTTCCAGAGGCCTTAACCCTTTATACATGATTAGATCTCACTTCCCTGGCTGAGGCGTCTCCCTTTATTACCCAGTCAGAGCCTGGTAGCCAAAAGAAACTTAAATGGGCAGAGGACGGCCCTCAGACCCCTGTCCATGATCTGGTGAAAATGGCATTTGAGTTTTACAATGCATGGGAAGAAGCGGCTGAGGCTGAATGCCAAGCCCACCCTCACCACAAGGTGGTGATCCAAACCCAGGTCCTGGTAGCAGCCCTGAGGCTGGCAGCCCCACAGAGGCACAAGAATGGGGTTTCCTCATCTAAGTCCATTCCCCCAGGGACCATGTTTCAAGTATGGGAACACGAGCAGGCTCGACAGTGTCCTTGCCCCCAGCTGCCCACCAAGCCAGGCCTCAAGTGCAAACAGCCTGGTCAATGAGGAAGTGACTGCCCAGTGCTAACCCATCACTGGCGCCTCCTCGCAGGGAACAAGTCAGCCAGGTGGTCTCCTCTTGGGAGCTGTTGGGGCTAGCTGACGACTGAAGAGGCCCAGATTCGAAGACCCCCATTACCCTCGCCGAGCACAGGGTTAACACCACAGGTGGCGGATAAGTCCATCTCCTTCCTTGTGGACATGGGCGCTACCTACTCCATCCTGCCCTCCCATTAGGGGCCACTTTTTCCTTCTCAGATCTCGGTCATGGGACTAGATGGCACACCCTCCTGCCAACCTAGGACAGCCACCCTAACCTGCCATATAGATGGACGACCTTTCTCCCACTCCTTCCTAGTTAGGTCGTCATGCCCAGTTCCCCTCCTTGTCAATTGGGAGCTACCCTCCAACTTCCAGCTGCAGCCCCTGCCACTCACTTTCTCCTCCCTCTCATCTGTTTATCCATTAACTCTGATCCTTCTGGCCCTCCCTCCCTTCCTCTTCCCCCTGAAAAAGTTAACCCTGTTGTCTGGGACACTTCTGAACCGGTTGTGGCCTCCCATCACACTCCAATTCTTACTCGCCTCAAGGACCCCACCAAATTTCCTTCCCAACCCCAATTCCCTAACTCTTCAAATCTGACATGCCCTAGACCTACTGACGGCCATAAAAGGGGGCACCTATCTGTTCCTCAGGGAGGAGTGCTGCTACCACATCAACGAGACAGGGCTGGTTGAACAAAACATCCACGTTCTCAGCCGTCTAAGCAAAGAACTACGGGACCAGCAGCAACAGCACACTTCTCTTTTCCCAGACGGGTGGCAATCTACCCTCGTCACCTGGACTGCCCCTACTTTAGGACCATTCATTGTCATCTACCTTCTCTTCATGCTTATACCCTGTTTCCTCAGGTCCCTCTGAAGCCCAATCCAAGAAGTTTCCTGTGTGGCTGTCAACTAAATGCTCCTCCATCCCTACACACAAGTTCCCACTGAGCCCCCAGCCCCCGACTTCCCCTCTACGCCCCAACTCACAGCAGGAAGTAGTTAATGATTGAACAGTGTCCTATAACACCAAAACAGTCGTGATGTTAGGTAGGAGGCCTGGGCAGCTTGGATGTGGGGGTTGGACGCCATGCCAGTCGGCTGTGCAACCCGGATCTTAGCCTGTCAGCAGACCTGCGCTGCACCTGGATTTAACCCGGATGTAGCACACGGCACTCTACTCTGCACACGGGGCTCTACCTGCACACAGCACCAGACGTTACATGGCACAGCAGTCTGCTCTCCCCCTAAACCTTTACGATAGACTGTTTCTACCTGTAAGACACTCCCCCTCCCTATGTCCTTATAAAAATCGCTAAGCCCTGCCCTAGGGAGTGACTTCTCTGGCCCCCTCTCTCTCTGTTGGACCAGAGAACCTCGCCCGGGAGTGCTTCCAATAAAGGCTCTACATTTCTCTTTTCTCACATGGGCGGCCCATTCCTTACAAAAATAAACCACATTAATTATTAGTTTTGCAGACTTGGCTACTTCCGTCAACAGAAACAACCCCAGGAGGGGACTGCGCGCGCGTATGTGTGTGTGTCCGTGCACATGTATACACATGCGTATGCTTATGTACCTCCCTTTATAGAAACCATGTTTCTGAAATGAGAATGAAAACAAAATCTTACCTTCCCAACTGAGTTAGTTTAATTGTACAGCCTCAACTTTTGTTAGTTTGGATTAGTCTCCAATACAGAACTCCTACTTTTATTTAGCTCTCTGTTATTCTTTTATTAGTTAACAAACATTTATCATTACATGAACCAAAATTTAAAACAACAGGAGCTTCTACAGTTCATTTTTTTCTGAAAAGCATGAACCTACAGATAATTCAAATAAAGTCTTTAGTTCATATACATCATACACTTTAAATCTGTAAGTGTGTCTTTATTTCTATAACAAGGATAACCTCTTCAGTTTGATCTCAGTTGGTCAAACCAAAATCCTGTCACTCCAACAGTGACAGGAATTCCAACTGTGGCTCAACTACTACCGCCTTTTTTCAGCCTGAGTCCTAATAGGAAGCGCAGGCACTCATTCTCAATCTTCTCTCACTTGGACATATCCAAAGGACGCCTAGCACTTCCATCAGTGCACTGCTCAACTGCCTCCAAGAGTCTAGTGGGGCCCTGCAGTGGCGGCGCAGGCAGGAGGGCGCTGCTGTGCCATGCTGGAGCCACATAAGGAAGGCTGAGGTTCAGCTCCTAGGTCGACCCAAACATGCCAGGTGTCCATGTGGGTTCCAACCCTCTACCACAAAAGCAAAGAAGCTTAGATTTAAAAGAGAATCAAGGGGGAAGGGGAGGGTGTGTTAAGCAGTTTATGGAAGCCCCACACGCCACCCTCACCACCCTCACCACACATATCCCTCTCTCCTAGAAAAACCACTCAAGTACAAAGAGGCTGTACTGCCAGGGCTTTCTCATTCACATTACTTCAAAACTAGTGCTCACTTCACCATAAAAATCAGTGCCGGCTCCATGGCATAGCTGGAACATGGAACTCAAAGTGAAGTCAGATCCCACATGGCGACCACAGTTCAAAATCCCAGCTGGTCAGTCAGCCTGAGGCATGCAGGGAATGCCCAGGAGTGCCCAGGATCCATCACGTGGAGGAAGGAGACCACAGTGTGACGAGACCCTGAGAAGGATTCTCGTCCCTCTCACACTCTCTCATACACATACTACATGCTCTACCATGAAGAGAGAAAAACATTTTTAAAAAATTAAGTATCAACCATGTCTTGCCCACATGTCCTTGATGGAATTAAACTACTCTGGCCAAAAACATACCAAAGTAAGTGACCCACCATTGTATACAACACTTACTGCATACCTAGTTTTACTCTACTGACTTTGAAACCTACACTGCAATAAAATCTCTTTACAGTTATTCTTGAACTGAAATGAAAAAGGCTCCTCTGGTCTGATAAATTCATGTCATTCACTAAGTTAAAATACTATTCTAAGAAAGTAACTTATAAGTTCATTTTTAAGATTTCTAATTGAAATAATACCACTCAAAATAAACTAATCCCTTAAATACAGCTACTGAGCATTGGTTCACTCTGTAAACACCTTGCTGTACACATGTGAATGCTCACCCCCACCTTCTCCTAAGGGTTCATGATCTGGCCTTCAGAATAAAAATCAAAATTCTACAAACTTAGGTTCTCTTCAGAAGCTGCCCATCTTAAAGAAATGCTGTCTGTCTTGTCATTTCTGACTCCAAAGCATGCCAGATTGTGAAATAAACTGAAGTTGACAAAATAAAAATAGCAATTATATACATATGTATTTACAAAGCTACTAAAATCCAGGATTACAGACCAATACAGGTATGTATAAAATCTCTCAAAGATCTGAGTGCTTTCACTCCCAGCCAGATGAATAAACATGTAAACACAACAGAACAGAAAAGTAACTTGCACTATTCTGGACTCTCAAGAATACTATCCCATGACATGCCCCTTTCTTGTTTTTCACCCTCAACACATGCAATTCCAGGGACCAGCAGATGACATAATGGTTACGTCACTGCACTCCCACATGGCCAATCGTGGTTCAAGTCCCACACCCAGGAGCTTGACACTCATGCCAGGCTCATGTGCGTGCATGCCCAAAATCCCAAGAGAAGTTCGAGAAGGGACTGCGGTGTGGCCATCCCTGCTGACGGAAGGTGATTTTTTGCTTTCTGTCTCTATCTTTCTGTCCCTCTGGCGAGTGTACAAGATCTATAGCAAAAATCTCTCAAAAAAAAAAAAAAAAAACCAATATGGAATTCCTAAGGTAGCAAGCTACTGAAACCGAATTTGTGCTGTTTTCAAGTCACTTCTTCCAGTGGACACCTTCTCTCACAAAAATCTTCATATCTGAAAGCATGTACTTAATAATAATCAAGAATCCCCTTAAGCCTTTATCATCTATGCTGAACACATATCTTGCCAAACAATACACACTTTTTCCCTTTGATCATTCATTCTCTTTAAAACACACTAGTCCAACCACAGTAGCAGAGGTAGCAGATCACCTCTGCATGATACTGGAGCCATATGGCATATGGGAGGCCTCGGGTTTGGACCTGGGGGCATGCCCAGGATGCTAGCTAGCTGGGGAGGATCACAGTAGGGTGAGACCCCGTGGGGGGCACTTCACTTGTTTCTTCCTTCTCTCTCATGGGAAAAAAAAAAAAAAGAACTTTCAAAAACATGTTTAAAAGTAGAATACAATGACCAAAATTGGACATGCTACTCAAAAGGGATAAGCAATTTCCAAGACTAGAGAAGAACTGTTCCCATGCCCTTGGGTACCATATTCATTTAAAAATCTTTGAGCATGTTGGTGACTTTTTTTACTACCCTATATGCAGCTTGTAGTCATCCAAGATTATGGCTTACTTTCCTGTTATTTATTCCTAGCCTGTCCTCCATCCTATACTTATATGTTCAGACTCCCCTACTCCCCACCAAATACCACCCTGCACTTAATTCACTGAATTTCATATAGTTTTCATAGACCCATTTTCCTGTTTATCACAGTACTTTACAGAAATGCTTAAATCTACAATATATAGTAACTATCATTTATGCCTTAAACATGTTAGGAATATAAAAGTACATAATAATCAACACAGCTCACATTGTAATTTACAATAAATAACACAACTAAGGATGATGGCATACTGATGCCTACTGGAAACCTACCTCTGCTGGGTGATCGCTCTTTACCAGTGCTACGCGTGCCCTTTGCAAGGAACCATCCATTAGCTTGTGAAGTCTTAAAATTAACTTTCTTAACCCCATCTGCTTCAGTGCTTTGTCTACAAATGGTCTATAAATAGAAGTCAGACAGTGTCTACTAAAGCCTGCTTCCGGGCTGGTGTCTGGTGTTCCCCAGCCAACAGAATCCTCCTCAGATCCAAGCCTCTCAAGCTTCTTGGATATGCAGTCTTGCGAGTGGGTGTCAGAACTGTTGTCTGTAGACTGCCTGATTTCTGATACCCTCGGGTCAGAGCGCTGCTCTTCTTCACTCTCATCCGTGCTACTTTCCAACTCCTTCAGCTCCCCTTCCGTGTCATCGCCCTCATCTTCTGGCTCATTGCCTTTGGAAGGTCGAGGAGAAGGTATTTCAAACACTGGCCAGCCAATGTCTGACAGGTTCTTGATGCCCAAAACAGTGCCCATGATCCTTAATTTCTGATTTAAGTCTTTCGTGATGTTTAACCACAAACAGAGTGCCTGCACCCTGTCCTGGAAGTCTTTCGCAGCGTATTTTTCGTAGTCCTTTTGAAGAGCCTGCAATGATGGATAAAGTGCTTCTATGTATTCTAGCAGCTCCATTATCCGTTTCACCTGCTCAAACGAAACCCTCTGGCGCTGGAGATGCTCGTGATAGGTTGAGGGACCCACAACCTTTGTGCTGTGAGGGCTTTTGCAATGCCCTTCTACTGAAGTACCATTAAAACTAGCTCCATTTCGAACACAGGCAAAGCTCCCATAATTAACTTTGAAAGTGAGGATTTCGTTGATAATATCTGGGATGGCTTGACGAGCTGTATACAAAAAGAGGTCCTGGTCATTAATGGTCCGTCCTGCGTGCCAGGCTTGTAGCTCTAACCAGATCAGCTCATTAGATCGGTTAAACCAGAAAGCAGATGTATTTTCTTGTCCTCTTTGTTCCCTGTCCTTCTTCTTTGAGACTGAGGTAAGCTTTAGCAAGAGTCGTAATGTTTCAAAAAACTTCAAACGATCTGCTGGACAATCAGTCCTCGAAGTCTGCCGTGCAGTTCTAGCTATGGGCATGGGCACGGAAACTGGAAGCTTAGCGTTGCTACAGCCAAGGCTGAGGTAAGGCTTATTGAGATCCACGTCGGGAATCGATTTTTTTGGCAAAGACCCACCCACTGAGTCCAACATGAATGAGCACTGTACATTTTTCTTATGATCACGCTCTGTTGTTCTAAGAGTTGCTCGGATCTTTTTCTCCTGCTTATAGCTGTATTCTTCCACATTCTCCACTGCTTTTCCAGTGTCTTTATGCAGAGGCTGATTTGGTGCATTCATTCTTTCTATTAAAAAAGATAAATAAACAGAACATTATGTAACTCTAAAATATGAAGCTATATTTAATATTTTCAATAAAACTGCTATTCACAATTTTATTCATGTTTTCTCTTTATTCACTTATCCTTTCAGGCCATTATTGGAGCTAAAAATTAAAAGAATTGAAACAGGGACCATCAGATGGTGTGATAATAACGTTGCTGGACTCCCACGTGGTTGACCGTGGTTCAAGTCCTGGATCTAGAGCCTTAAAACTCACATCAGGCCAGTACGCATGCATGCCCAAAATCCCAAGAGAATGGAAAAGGGACTGCAGCATGGCCATTACTCCAGGGGGTGATTTCTCGCTGTCTTCTCTGTCTCTGTCACTCCAGCAAGTGCATGTAGCCTATTAACAAAAAAAAAAAAAAAAAAACTCTCTTTTAAAAAAAAGAGGGGCCAGTGGGTGGCATGTGGTTAAGGGTGCTGGACTCTCACAAGGCCAACCACAGTTCGAGTCCTGGAGCTGGTGGCTAGCTTTTTCACTTTTTCTCTTTCTCGCTCACTAGCTCTCTATCCCCCTCTGGTCAAATTAAAATAAATAAATGAATAGTTACATAAAATAATTCTTAAAAAAAATCAAAACACATCCATAACATTTCTAAATTTTTTTTTGAGAAATTTTTGCTATAGGGTGCATGAGCTCGCCAGACAGAGAGAGACAAAGACAGAAAGCAAGAAATCACCCCCCAGGGGGAATGGCCACGCCACACGCAATCCCTTCTCCTCCATTCTCCTCTCGGGATCTTGGGTGCGCACGCACAGGCACCTGGCATGAGTTTAAGCCACTGGGTCCGGGATTCGAACCACAGTCAACTACATAGGAGTCCGGTGACATAGCCATTACGCTAACTGCTGGTCCCAACATTTCTAAATTTTTTTAAAGACTTCAACCTTTTTTTTTTTTTTTTGCTACGTCATACTTGCTACACTCTGTAATATCCACAACTACAAACCTAAAACTAGCTGTTTCCCTCCACACTACACAGTGCAGTTTTCAAACTTTTCATCAAATCTCCATGAATAATCACCTTCCAGCTAAGAAAGGAGAACAGTGTGGAAGATGTGACAGAAGCTGGATTCGAACACATATCTGACTTCTTTGTCATTAAATGTGTTACCCAAGAGCAAATCACTTAGGTCTTCAGAGTCACTGTTCTCACTGTAAAAAGAGGGAGACCGATGAAATAATTCTTAAGGGAGCTTACAATTATTCTCATAAAAAACTGAAAGATAGTCGATAAGCACAAACACTGGCTTTAGTTTATCCCATTCCTTGATTTCATCTTTGCTACAAAACAAATGAACATAGCATTTTAAATTTAACATTAACAAAGCTAAAGACACACAGACCAATGGAGTATAACTTGCTTGCTCTGTTACACAGGCACGTAACATCACTCAAAATTGATGAAAGAATTACATTACACATTTCCTTTGAACAACTAGAAAAAGCTTTCATTTCACCTCAAGCTTTGAAATGAACACACACAGATCTTCTTATTAAGCATTCTGTAACACTATTAACCAGCTCTTGCTTACAGAAACCCTGTCGTTCTGCTGCTTCCTAAATACAAGGGTCTCCAGGCTCTCTTCTGCTTCTGTACATTCACTGCTCTTCCAGTTCCCTCCATGAAACGCACTCACTTCATACAGTCGCACTGTTTCTCCAAGTTCCCATCTTCAAGTGCTCCCCTTCCCCTGGTAAATTTCATTCACTGTGCGTCACGTACCGGTAATGCCCAAACCTGCACCACCATCCTGCTCTGTCCTCTCCATGCAATACACGCTTTATTTCACTGAATCTAGTACATACATCTTAAAACCTTTGAAATTAGCATGTAATTGTATAATATATTGCTATATAACTAGTGGTGATATATGTATACATTTAAAAAGTTTTAGGAACATACCCATTAATATATTCCACCTGTATTTTTCTGTACATATACATGCAAGTGGTTTTTTAAAATCTCTAACAGCCAGCCAATGTTGGGGGTTATAAAATTAATGTGGTTTGGCATTATTAAAAATGGACACAAGATGTTTGCATACATTTTATAATTGAAAATAACAGTGGACAGTGAGAAAGTATTACTTTGCTTGCATAACTTACTCACGTTCCTCTAATCCACAACTTAAAGGCCCTAAGACAAATGAAGGATTAACTGAGAGCAGCTGGGATGACTACAATATCACCAGAAGACAGACTGGTTATAACTATTATGCACAAATGCCATATTTACCAAGAGGCAAACTGTAAAAATATTAAAGAGATGAAGCACTCAATCTCAATCCTTATTAATGAAAAGGACATAAGGGAGAAAAATGCCACAACCCCATTTTTCTGTAAAGGGATCATTTTTGGGGGGCGAGGGGGGTTTTGCTATAGGGTGCATGTGCTTGCCAGAAAGACAGAGAGAGACAGAAAGCGAGAAGTCACCCCCTGGGGGGCTGGCCACACCGCAATACCATCTCCTCCATTCTCCTCTTGGGATCTTGGGCATGCACATACAAGCAAGCAGCATGAGTTTAAGCCACCGGGTCCGGGACTCGAACCATGGTCAACTACATGGGGAGTCCAACGACATAGCCATTACACTAACTGCTGGTCCCTGGAAAGAGATCATTTTAGCAAGCCTGAAAAACTTACTTAAGTTATATACTAATCTTGTTCAGCCTACTTATACAAAACAGGGTACTACACAATTTTTTGAAATTTGGTATTCAAAGAAAGCAACGATTTAATATTTAGATCTATTACATGTAAGGAAAAACTAAAAGATGAGGAAATGAAGCTTTTTTTTTTTTTCAAAACAAAATCCAAGTTGGTTTTGGAAAAAATACACAAAACAGAAATCATACATCTTAGTTTAACTAGTGATACAAATTCAAACTTAAAGTAGACATAAATCCTAGGCTAGCTACTGATCAAAAAAAAAATAACAGTCTATCTCAGCAGTAGCTGTACTTTTCAAATAATTTGTGATGGTGAAAGGAAACACAAGGAGATCAGCAGTTGGCGTAACGGCTATGTCACTGAACTCCCACGAGGTCGACGGCAGTCCAAGTCTCAGACCCTGTGTCTTAAACACACGCCAGGCGCGTGTGCGTGCATGCCCAAGATCCCGAGAGGAGAATGGAGGAGAAGGGATTGTGGTGCGGCCACCCCCCCCAGGGGGGATTGATTTCTTGTTTTCTGTCTCTGTCTCTCTCTCTTTCTGGCGAGCGCATGCACCCTATAGCAAAAATCACTCCAAAAAAAGGAAAAACAAGAATGCCTTCGAGCCCATGTCTGTGCCACCACAGCCCCCCCTTATGCTGTTGAAGCTGCTCACAAGACAGAAAGAGCTGACCAAGGAAGACGCTTTACTAGTCTGTAAAGGCTTAGAGTAAGATACTAGACTTGGGCACTGAAGAACAGATTGCGCTTAATTAAGAAAGACAAAAGAAAAATTTAAGCCAGTGAAGACGATTATGAAAAGACAGGCAGAAAAGAATTCGGCTAAAACTGGAGTCTGTATATGACTAGCCTGGAAACAAACTAGAACTTTGAACATTGGGCTGAGTTTGGACTGAGAGCTGACGTATGGATTTCCGTCTACTCTGGTTAACATTTCTCTATCTAGACAGACTGAATTTAACTTGTCACCTTCTTTTTCTGTTTGAAGACAGAGTCTAACTGTCACAATCCTCCTATGTCAGCCTCCTAGCTAGGATGTCACATCACACAACTACACGCAACTGTTTTTTAGACAGGATCTCACTCTGTTGCAGAGGACATTCTTGAGCTCACCCTCCTGCTCCCTCCGCCTCCATGAGCTGCTGGGATTACAGGTGCATGCCACTCCAGCTGGCCTTTAGGGTGGACTGGGAAACCAAGTTGGTCCTCCCCTTCAGTTCTAGCCAAGGCAGCAGTGCCCCAGCAGCACACCACCACAGCAGGGCCTGACTTGTAACCACCATAATCACTTGGAACCATTTTTACCAGCTATATAATATTCCTTAAGAGCAAACAGGTCCAGCTCAATGATGCAGTGCCAACGCCCTGCCCAAGCAACACTGAATCCATATGGACAGTTTGGTTTTGGTTGCCCAACCAACCTGCATTCACCCAAGAGAGGAGCTGGCTAGGAAAGCAGGGGGTAAGGGGAGAGTGTCATCACAGCCTGAGAACCTATTGAGGATTCCTGTCTTTCTCTCTCTCTCATGAAAGAAAGAAAGAAAACTTAAAGAAAAAAACCAAACATTGCTAATCTCACTACTGTTAGCAAAAGGACACACATTAACATGCACATATGCATACAAATACACCGACACACAGAGAGACACTTTGAGATACTTGGAAATGATAGGGAGATTATATGTATATGTATGTATAAATTCTGATATAAATATAAGGTACTTGCTCTAGCTCTATAATTCAACGGCCACAGTATTATATTACTACTGCAAAGCAGCTGGTAACGATTACAAGGCAGATTCACTCTGCAAAGGGCTTTGGCTGGGTCATCTTTTAAATTCCTATTTAACCTACTTAAACTATGAGATGAAATGGATTTACTTCTAGTCTATTAAAAAGAAAACAAAAAATTAAGAATAAGATGGTTTGACTATCTCTTAAACCAACTTTAAGAAGGAAGTTATTTGACTAATTATTATTCAGAACTTATCAAAATCTTAATTGCTATAATATAGTAATAATTTACTATTGTCCAAAAATATAATCTTAACACCACAGCAAAATTCCCTCACTCATCACAATATGCAATCAAGCCTGGTCAGTGAGTTCATTCAAGAGCTGACCCGGCAGGTTACGTCTGTCAAGATGCCAGATAGCTGACTTCTTTTAGGGTAGAAGGGGCTAATCAGCCTCACCTAGATATTACAACACTGTGATCACATTTTCCCGAGCTTTAAAAATACAATGTAGTACTCCAAAAACAAACAGACAAAAAAGTCTTTA